TTACTTAATAGGAAATCCATTTATATTTCTGTGTTACTTAAAGTAAACCTAATACTTTTAAGGTATTAAAAAAAAAAGTAATAATTAGTGACATTACATTGTAGTATAGGATTTTAGTTTTACTCGTAAATATTTTCCCTATTTACAATGTCAATAAAGATATTGAATATTTATGTAAATTTTACAATGAAGTATGAAAGAAAAGAAACAAAATCAATTCACTACTTAATGAACATCAAAACCTGGAGTATATGATCTAAATCAAATAAATCCCATAGTTCTATATATTCTTGCAGGTTGCTATCGTTTTAGTAAATGGGATCAGAATTATGCATTATCAACTGCAATGTCATGATGTTTCCTGAGCCATCGTCGGAACATAAGATCTAGTATAACATAAAATATTTAAAATCTCAAAACTAATATTAGTAAAAAATTCTTCGCATAATTTCCTATCAGGCAGCCCTTTCTAGACCTAAAATATACCTGTCCCTAACTTAAATGAGCCTTTTTGTTCGAAGACTATTGATCTCGAAAAATCACATGAATGGAAAATCAATGTTAGCCAATTTTCTGTTTAACATAATACATAATGGCTCGGGTTAGTAATTAAAAAAAGGAGATTAATAAGAAATACAGCGATCTTATTAGTTAAGGATCTATATTTTTGCTGGATGGTTTTTTTCTTATTTGTTTGTGCCGTGTAACTTTTTTGCCTGTCATGCTTGTGTTTAAGTAAATGGCCTGTTGTGGAAATGAACATCAAAAAAATTAGCGTTAGATGTAACCATGCCAAATATGAAATGATACATAACTTTAAATAATTACGTATTATTTTTACTAGTTACTCTTTTGATGTTATAATTTTCTAAATTGATAAATTTAGTATGCTAGTTATTTGTTAATTTTAAGCTTAACAAATTTAAATATTAAGAAACTCTATTTAAATAAACTGAGAAATTTATCGTTATATTGATCTATTTTTCAATCATCAATCATTAGTTAAGCGGCTAAGCCAATAAAAAATTTAATGGCTTAGTCAAGCTAAAAAAAATTTAATGGCTTAGTCAAGCTAAAAAAAATTTAATTGGCTTGAAATCACTAGGTTGAAAAATAAAACCATTGGTAAAAGCACAAGCCTAGTGTTCAACTGAAAATATACTATGCTACGCTACTGGGCTTAAAAAATGTGGTTTTAAGGGTAGGGAGTACTATTTCAAAATAAACTCAATGGTACAGTCAAACCCCTCTATAGTCACACCTTCGGGATACAAAAAAACCGTGATTGTAAAGAGGTGTGACTAATATAGAGGTATTTTCTATATAGTTATAAATAATTGGTAAAAATAAATTTGTAATTATACCAATTTTGTGACTATAGAGGAGGTGACTATAGAGGGGTTTGACTGTATATTTTAAATTAAAAATATTTTATTAAATTTAATATTTATAACTTGTTAAATAATTGTAGACTACGTAGATTTTTCTGACTCTAATGGTTGTAAAATTATTAAAACCAGATAAGTATTTAACGAGATAGGGGTATTTAAAGATAGGAGTATTACAAATTTCATATATGGGTTAGTTAATCAGAATTTGGAATTTTGTACTACCTAAGAAATTTTGAACCAATCTAAGAAAACTTTACACATATACAAGTATCTTTTTTAGAATAGTATTGCTTCTAAAAATTTCACGAGATTTGGTAAAATTTAACTGTGGCTATGAAAATTTTATATGCCATGCAGATATAAAAAATGATCGACATACTCCCTACCCTTAAACTAAGCTTAAAATGTTTAGACGTGTCAATTTCAAGTACGTACGCATTGTTAGCCTTAGTATCTTTGGCATCATGCGCATTATTTTTAAATACGTATAATATGCAAGAAATTATACAGATGCTCAACAAGGAGGCAGGGCAAATGCGTGTTTCATAGTGTTAGCTCGAAATAGTGATTTAAATTATGTTGAGCACTCAATGAATCAACTTGAGGACAGGTTTAATCATAAATATAACTATCCATATGTATTTTTAAATGATGAACCTTTTACGCAATTATTTATAAATTTCACGAGCGCAATTGCTAAGGCAAAAGCCAGCTACGGTAAGTAGATTAATAAAAGCATGTTATCAATTAGTTAATGCGGTTTAGATATATAGGCAAATCAGAAAAAACACGTCAAATTTTTTTTTTTAAAAAAATTTTAAACAATAATAACAAAAACTTAGCCGAATTCAATAAAAATTTTTAAATTGATTCTCAAACTTGAAGAATTTATGATTCTAAAAGTTTGAAGGATTCATGATTCTAAAAGCCTGAACGATTCATTTAAAAAAATTTCGCCAAGTTTGTTAAAAAGGATTGTCGGGTTTCTACTCCATATATCGAAATACAGTAGGAATCATAAGTATCCCACCCTCTCTAACTTTTTAAATAGAAAAGCACAACTTTAAAATTTTTACAGTAAAATAGTATTAAATAAATATAGATCAGTATTAAATTTTTCTATTTTTTTAATTACTATAACAAAAGTTAGATGAGAGCTAAAATTTTGGCTATTTTAGATGCTAAAAACGAATTATATTTAATTAAAAATTTATAAAAAAATTAAAATTAATCTAAAGGCTTTAAAAATTAACAGAATTAAACTTCAAGCATTTTTATATTATTGAAAAAAATTTGAATCAATTTAATAAGATAGTTGTTAAAAAATTAATTTACCCTTCTACACAGCACACTAGTACAACTAAATGTAACAAATGGGAAACTCTGTTCTCCACAACTAACATATCTTCTTCGTATATAGCTAAACTAAATCTAGTGGAGGCTAGGTAGCCCACTCTAGTAGAGCTTTGGGCTGAGGATAAATTAGTCCTAGCTGTAGGTCCCTGTAATAATCATGTAACTTATTTAAATAATGTAATATATAATTATTTAATAAAAACCAAGACCAGGCCTCACTCTTAAAAAAAAAAAAAAATTAATTTTAAAGTAATTTTGCTATATTTAGAAATCATACATGTTGTTTAACTAGATATTTACTTAGTAAAAACAAAGTAATTTTACAAGTTTTATTAAAAATTTTAACTTTAAAAATTAATTTCTTAACAACTATCTTATCAAATTAACTCAAATTTTTTCAGTAATATAAAATGCTTGTATTTTGATATAATAATTTTTTCTTATTTTTAGATTAAATTCTATATTTTTATTAATTTTTAATCATATTCAATTAATTTTAATTATAGTAACAAAATTTTTAAAATTTTAGCTCTTATCTAACTTTTGTTGTAGTAATTAAAAAAGTATAAAAATTTAGCACTAATCTATATTTATTTAATACTATTTACTATAAAAATTTTTAAAAAGTTAGAGGAATAGAATACTTATGATTTCTACTGTAATTCTAATATGATCTTATTGGTAATATTTATTCTAAAAACAATTTCTATAAAAATGTTTTGGTTGAGTATAAGTTTACAAAAGTCTTGTTTAGAGACTTAATAAAAATAATAGTTTAAAATATATCTATATTGGTAACAGTAATAATATTAATTATAAGGGTTGGTATTATATTGTTAAATTATTTATATTTATTTATAATAAACCTTTTTTTTTTTTTTTTTTTTTGGTTTTAAGGTGACCTCTTAGTCGATTCTCTTTATTCAGTTATTAGTTAAGTTTTACCGTACGTTAGGCTCCTTACGACGCCCGTACAGTATACATATTTTTGGAAAGTACAAACTAGCTACACGTACAACTTTTGATTGCCTATTTAAGTAGTCCGCTTATTACTAAGTCTACACTAGATGCCATATAATAAACCTTTTACTCATCTACTCAAATACTACTAACTTATATTTTAAAATATATTTTTGCTACTATTATTTCAGAACTTAATATTCTTTTATTAAATATATAGTTATACTAATTAATCTGTTTGTATTTTCTTATATCTGAATTATATTTATAGTATTGCTTTTAATAACCTATCTTGTTATAATACTATAAATTTTCTTAAATTGTAAGTAGCTCTACTTTTAACTATAGATCTTGTATTATTTATTTTGATTTTTAATTGGGATTCTTTATTTATTGATTAGTATTGCTTAATATATATATATAATTATATTTTTGCTTTAGTACTTTTATAAATATTCTTTAGTATAGTAGGTATATATAAATAATTACAAGATTATAATATATAAAACCAAAAAGAACTTCATAAAGAAGTACTTGATTATATTATCTCTCTTACTCAAAATACCAAATACAAAATTATTATTATGGGGGATTTTAATAGTGT